GAATGTACGCCCACGCCGCCGCAATATTGCGCCTTATTGGCCAGGCATCGGGTGTAGCAGAGCTGATCGTCCTGCTTCTCCTGCGCCTCCAGATGGTTGGCACAGAAGCACTTCTCGGCAGCCAACACCGCGTACCTGTGTCCCTGGCGCTCACAGATCTCAATACACGTTTGGGGCATCTTCGCGTACACCGACTCCTTGAGCAAGTCCGTGCGGGCCGTATAGCAGCCCACATAATAGTAGACGGGCTCCGCAGTCAGCAAATCCTGCGTGTCCAGCGCGGATAAGCAAACATAGTTGGACAGCAAGCAAATGGCCACGAAGTACGCAGATGCAAGCTGCTGCTGCCAGCTAGCGTTTGGGCGGTGTCCACGATGCATGTTGCGGCAGCGCACTCAGCTTGGCGAGTGATGGAACGTCGTGTGGCCAGGTGTACTTCTGGTGCGGACCTTCTGGTTTGCCACTATAATTGAAACTAATTAAACACTTTTTGCAGCCTAATTTAAACAAATTAGGCACTTATTTCTCTTATATTGCTTTCGCCCTAGCGCGTCCAATATTTTTTTCTTGCATTTTAAGCGCTGCTCAGAACGCAACTATCAATGCTGCTTCTGCTGCTCTTTGCCTCGTTTTGCTTTGGACGTTGTTGTTGTTTCTGCTGTTGCTCTCAGCAACCAACCATTCCAGTTGACTAATCGCGCTGCCAGCGCCGACGCTGGCGTCACTGTCACTGTCACTGTCGTCGCAACTGTTGCTGTTACTTTTCGTTCACGTTGTTTACATCACAAAATGCTAAACACCTGCTTAGTCGAAACGAGACAGCTACTGTGCTGATAGCAATCGAACGTGCCGATCAAATCTTCTAGCCGTCTCTGTCTGGCAGCGCACAATGTTCTGAGCGCAGCTTTGACAGCACAAAATACATAGTGAGATGGCGTTGCCAACAGTACATAACTATTTCGAAACCAGAACTCTGACACAAAAAAAAAGAAAACATGCATAATCGTAAATCGAAAGGGACGTGTGACTTTTGCCACTTTTCGTTTATTGTTGTTAATTAAACAAAATAATTTTAACAGCTGCACCTGGCTGATCTGACCCATCTGACCGCGCTGTCAGAGAGAGCACAAGAGAGCAAGCACCGCTGCTCATGAGAGACAGAGAGAGATCGACCAAAACGGCGCTCCCTTACTCTCATTTTAAAGCTCACTAAGTGTGCTCACTGTTTAGCGAGTGGGTGACTTGCGTGCCGTCCTCAGTTCAGTTGGTTGACAGTGGCGGCGACTGTCGCAACGTCGCTTTTGCCTTTTAACTCAATTTGGTAAATATTGCAACAAGTAAAAGGGACATAGTACATACATGTGCGCACACACTGTATATATTCTCTTGAGAATCGCGTATCCAGCATAAGTATGGCTGATTTATTGTTGCTATTACCATTGCTGTTTTAGTCTGTATGGAAACAGCTGCCTGCAGCCATTACGCTGTTTTGATTACGTTTCCAATTAAAGTTTACACTGCCGAGGCGACAAAAAGTTGTCAACGTCATCAGCAACAACAGCGGCGAGTGACTTGGTCAGCAAATCATTTCAATATGAATGCATTTACGAAGCTGCAAATTAGCAATTTATATAAATGGAATTGTGTGTGACGATTACGTGCTGAACCTACGCACCTGAATTAAAAAGGCTGAACAGAAAAAGAAAAGAAAAGAAAAAAAAAAAACAAATTAATTTTCCGTATGCCAGCCAAACTAGCGCATAGTTGAATTTATTTTTGGCCTCGTCTCATAATTGCAGGCGGCCTGACACATTATGCCATACAGTGCCCATGCCAAAATTCAAATGAACACACAGAGCGTCAGGAAGGCGAACAGTCAGGCAGACAGACAGAGACCAACACACGCAATTGAATAGAACTTGCGCAATTAACCGTTAGTTCAATTCACTTGCCGCTTGTGATCAGATCAGATATAAGTTCCGTTTGGTGTACATATGTACATACATACTACTAACAAACATGCAGGCAAACATAAATCCAGATATATGTACATACATAAATCATCGATTTGCCGTGTACAAAGCAAGTAATATTAAATCTTTCAATAATATTATTGTTTCTTTTTGCAGTATTTGAAATCAACATCGTAAATCCAAGCATAGTTCAATTGTATAGCACACAATCGCGCTCGCAACCACACACACCCACACACGCACACAGCTAACACATGGAGGGGACAACAATGGGCGGCTCGGCGGTGCAGGTGATCAATGCATCCGAGGAGCACACGTTCGTGCTGAACGAGGATGCGCTCAGCGAGGTGCTAATGCGGGAAGAGGTCAAAGATCGCTACGTCTGCGTTGTTTCCGTAGCGGGTGCGTTCCGTAAGGGCAAGAGCTTTCTGCTCGATTTCTTTCTCCGCTACATGTACTCAAAGGTATGGTGGATATGTAATTAGTTTGCTCGCAGCTTAATGTGGTGCTATTTTGCAGTATGTGCGACATGATGTCACGGACTGGCTGGGCGATGAGACGGAACCTCTATCCGGTTTCTCATGGCGCGGCGGCTCGGAGCGAGATACCACCGGCATACTAATGTGGTCTGACATATTCCTGCACGATTATCCCAATGGCGACAAGATCGCCGTCATTCTGCTGGACACACAGGGTGCCTTCGACAGCCAGAGCACCGTGCGCGACTGTGCGACAGTGTTTGCCCTGAGCACGATGCTGTCCTCGGTGCAGATATATAATCTCTCACAAAACATACAGGAGGATGACCTGCAGCATCTGCAGCTGTTCACCGAATATGGCCGACTGGCGCTGGCTGACACTGGTAAGAAGCCATTCCAGCGTCTGCAGTTCTTGGTGCGAGACTGGAGCTTCCCGTATGAGGCGGAGTACGGCGCACTGGGTGGCGACAAGATACTTAAACGTCGCCTCGAGGTGTCCGACAAACAACATCCGGAGCTGCAGTCGTTGCGTCGTCACATCTCTGCGTGCTTCACCGAGGTCGCGTGTTTCTTGATGCCACATCCTGGTCTCAATGTAGCCACAAATCCACAGTTCGACGGCCGTCTGAAGGATATAACGCCCGAATTCAAGAATAGTCTCAGAACACTGGTTCCCATGCTCCTGGCACCCGACAATCTGGTGTACAAGGAGATTAGTGGACAGCGCGTGAGAGCCCGCGATCTCATTCAGTACTTCCAATCGTATATGAGCATCTACAAGGGCAACGAGCTGCCCGAACCGAAGAGCATGCTGGTGGCCACTGCCGAGGCGAACCACTTGACTGCCGTCGCGGCCGCCAAGGAACTGTACAACCAGCTCATGGAGGAAGTGTGTGGGGGCACGCGGCCTTACCTAAGCACTGCACACCTGGAAACTGAGCACTTGCGCATCAAGGACAAGGCACTGTTCCAGTTCGCCACGAAACGCAAGATGGGCGGCGAGGAATTCACGGAGCGCTTTCGCCTACAGCTGGACACGGATCTGGAGGAGGTCTTCGTGAACTACCGGGCGCACAATGAGAGCAAAAACATCTTCAAGGCAGCGCGTACGCCGGCCGTGTACTTTGCCTGCGCCGTCATCATGTACATAGTCAGCGGCATCTTTGGCTTGGTTGGCCTCTACACGTTTGCCAATTTCTGCAATCTAATCATGGGCGTGGCGCTGCTGACGCTGGCGCTCTGGGCATACATCAGGTGGGTATTGGCAACTGAAAGCCCAATAGGTGAGCGAGCTGCCAAACTAACTCTCCATCCATTTGCCATACCCACAGGTATAGCGGCGAGCTGAGCGATTTCGGCGGCAAGCTGGATGAGTTTGCAACGCTTATGTGGGAGAATGTAAGTATGAGTTGATAAGAGATGAAGGCATAAATGATACAATGAATTCTGTTTCTATTTCTGTTTCTGTTTCAGTTCATGCGGCCAATCTATCAAGGCTGCATGGAGAAGGGCATCCAGCACGTGGCCACGCATGCGACTGAGGCTGCCATTGGCGGCAGTAGTAGCGGTGGCCGCTCCACTGCCAGTGCTCTGAATGGCAAGGTGAAGCGGTCATGAGAATACGCCCAACTCGCAGAGCACAAGTCGCAGCCACCTCTCGGGACGCATCAGCCACAAACGACTAACAACAATAATAACAACAACAATGTCGCGTGCAAATCAAACAAGAAAAGCAATCATCACAACAGTGGCGGCAGCCTCTTGAGCAGCCTTTGGGAGAAGATAAGCGGAGCGAAGACTCCACCGCAGACAACGACCCACTGCTCCACCTCATCCAGCTCATCCACAGCCGCCGTAAGCAGTCGCAAAAAGCGTAAATCAAAGCGCAATTAATTAGGTCCTTTGTAGCCGCGTTTATAAATTTTTGAAATGTCGTCGTTTGATTTGTATAAATTTAAGCCCTACAATGGATAGAAAAACAAAAATTTAGTAGTTAATTGCCCTGAAAGGAATATTGTTTTTTATATTACGTAAACTACTTTAATGGCTCAGCGCAGCGCGAAGTAATATATAATTATATATAATAATATACTTAGTAAGTGGCTCGTATTTGTTGAAAATCAAATTTTAAATTGTTTTTTATATGCATATATATTTACCTACATATATTGAAAAGATAATTGAAGACCCAATCTTTAATGCTGTAATATAAAGAAATCGCTAACGAATTTAAACTTGTTTAATTTCCAAAATGTTCTGTGTTTATCCCTCGTCTATAAAGTGAAGTCCTAATTTTAATTCTAGTACTAAATCTAATTCTTGCCCTTGCACTTTTTGCTGTAGAAACAGAGTAAGCAACCGAAATATGTAAAAATCAAATAAAATGCACTTTGTTGTTGGCTCGTTTGTTAAACGTACTCACCATATAAATCCAAACTTGTTCTTTCAATCGAAACTACTAGGTTCAATAATTGCCATCTCTCTGCTGAAATTGACTCTAATTTGGTAATGGTATTATATTTGATGCGCTACTTTAGTTCAGTTAGTAATAGTAACTAATGTATAGCAATTACGTTTCGATTATATTTAAAGATACAATGTCAGCTACATTATAATGAATAGTGAAAAGCGGAAGTAAAATACATCAAGTTGGTTTCTTTTTGTAATCATTATTCGTTCATACTTCTTGGCTCAGTCCTTGGCAGTCTTGCAGCACTCTTTTGGCCTATTGTCCTCGCCAGTGCCCTTACCCTTCTTGCAGCACCCTCCGGTCGAGGTTTGCTCGGTCTTCGAGGGGTTACAGCAGCATTTACCGGGCGTTACGCATTTACAGTCCTCGGAGCACTTGTCCGCGGTGCATTTACATGCTGCGTCGTAGAGTAGTTGGATGTATAAATAAATTTTATTACTTGAATCGGTTTTTTTTACCCTTTTCACATCCTATGCATGGCATTTTCTCACAAATCACTTGCTTCGTTTCTGTGCAAGAAAATACTGAATAGTGACAGTCGCTACAATAATACACATATATGTATGTCAATTTGACATTTATCTCAGCGCATGCGCGTCAGCCATATACCTTTAAGAATTCAACTCAACAGGTAATCAATAAATTGCCACACTAACTGAAATACTTCTATTTGTATTATGTTTGAAGGAAAATGAGGTCGATCTGCTATGA